TATTCTTCAAATAGATTGATTTTTAAATAAATCTCAAAATTTCATAAATTTCTATCAAACAAAAAGAAAATTTCTCTATGTTATTCCAGTCATCTCATCAGGTAGTGAATGTCTTTTATTATTAAAAAAATATTTCATACATGATTAATATACTTCTTGAAAGAATTCTGTTACTTTTGACTGTACTTGAATATATGATTATTCAATATTGACAATATTTTCTAATTGAATTTTATAATCCTAGAGTGATTCAATATTATCTAATGCTACTCTTATGTTATATTCTTTCAAATTTTCATTTATTTTTGTAATAATTTCTTGTGTTTGTTTAAGAACATATTTTCGACGTTTGTTTGCATAATATTGCAAACCTTCAGATTTTTAATAACCTTGAATAACTGTTTTAATATGTTTGAGATCTTTACTCTCTCATGCATTCTTTAAATCTCTATCATTATTTTCAATATTTTCTTTTTAATTTCATCTTTACAATGTTTTAGATGTACTTGAAGAGTTTCTTCCATATCTTTTGGTAAATATCGAATTCTTTATACAAAATTACTTATATAAATATTAATAGAATTTGATGGTAATTCTTTTTTTTTTAGCTTCATTTAATTCTTTTCTAAATTTAGTTAAAATACCTCTTCTTATTGGATTTAATGTTTAAGTATATTTAAGATTTGTAGCACTAACTTTTCCAAGTTTATTACATATATCTCTTGGTAAATTTAATGTATATTCACTTGAGGATCTGGTTGTGGGTGTAAAGATATTTTGTATGTTCACTTCCACCCATACCCCACACTAATCATGTAGTAATCGATCTACAGTGTTCAGTTCGAAGCTTTAGTTATTTTACCGTGTAAAAATCAAGTGTTCAATCAATTTAGAATGTATAGATTGTTCATTGTGTTGAAAATTTTTTAATATTATAGTATACGATGGAAATATTAGAACTTTCAGATGATTTCTTTATCTTCGATTGTTTTTGTTGTCGTTGATTTGAGATAAATTGTTCGAGGATATTGTATTTCTGTTGATCCTGACCTAAAACGTTTCGGATGACGAATGTTATTGTTGTCATTGAAGGTAATTCTTGCCGGTTTTATTGCTAATGTTTAGTTTAATAGACTGTTAGGATTTATCTTTTAATGATTATTGGTAAAGATTTTCAGTGATCTATCGTTCGTCATTATCACATCATCAAGATGATGAGAAAAATGAACGAAAGCGAAAAGAGAAAAGGGCATGCGCAAGTATGTGTATGTAAACGTATCGAAGTTATAAGAATAAGTTCGATCACGATCCATACGTAGAAAGGAACAATTTGTTGACATTAGTCATCAACATGTTTGAGTTTATTCGTTCTTTCATTGTATTTCATCATCTATGTCATTATATTACGTGGTAGAGAATGTGTGCAGGAAATCAACATCGACTCGGCGATTGTTCGAAGACAAAGTCTAGCAAAAAGAAAATAATTCATAGAAATGGTTGCGTAAAACTTGTGAAAGACTTTTTGTATTTTAAAATATTCGTCGTAAATATGATGCACCACAGCAGAATCATTACTTACTATCAATGACCTCATATTCCTTTAAATCAACAAACAAAATAACAGAAAATTTGTATCTTGGAGATGCGAAAATCGCTCGAAGTAAATATTTTCTTGAAAATAATAATATTTATGGGATAATTAATGTCACTACTAACGAACCAAACGCCTATCCTGAATCATATGATTATTTGCGTATAAATATCAACGATGAACCAACTGAGCAAGTTCGTCCATTTTTTCAAATTGTTTTCGAATTCATACGACGACATCATAACCTTGGCCATAGTGTTTTGATTCATTGTCAAATGGGTATTTCACGAAGTGCAACCCTCGTCATTGCATATCTGATGATCGATGGACATAAGACACTCGGCGAAGCTTTTCAACAAGTCAAAAGTGTGCGAGAACAAATCGATCCTAATGAAGGTTTTATCAGACAATTACGTGAACTGGAAATATCATTGTTTGGTGAGACAAAGACTCTGGAACGTATTACATTTCAAGATCTTAGTTGCGATGAATCACCCAAAGTTGTTATGGACCGTGTACTTACGGTTCTTGAAGACTTCATTACAGCTTTCGCTGCTGATGCATCTCCACAGACGCTCGATATACTCCAAGATAAACTTCTTAGATTAGCTGACAAAGTCAAACGTAATAATGTCACTGATTTATTGTCCGATGGCATTTGCAGATGTTTACGAATGTTCGGAGATGATAATCCATTAGACCAAGAAGCAAGAGTTGCTCTACAACAAGGACTTTCTATATTGTGCACTTTCTATAACGTTGATATCAATGATTGCCTCAACAATTTGACTAATGCTGAACAATGGAAAGATCTCTGCATTGATGTACCATTAGTTTATCGATGGATCAATCAATTACGAGACCAAAGTTCTTCTGTGGACATATCGTAAATCGAATTCAATCAAACGAGCAATTTTGACATAAAAAGACATTTATTCAAATGAATAATTATTTTAAGTTTTATATTGATAATTAAAATTTGAGAGTTACAAGAGAAAAAAAAGTTCCTTTTGTCACCATATACTTTATTTCCTATACTAAACAATTCTCAGAAGGCGTGCTTTACTTAGATAGAATTTTAAAAGAGAATAATGTTGTTCAACTGTTTTTTTTTCTTTAGTGCTCATTGAACCTGACCTGTAGCTTCTTTCAAAAGCAATTCATTACATTTTTTTTTCGGTTTTTTCCAATGTTGAAAACTCAACAGGTCAAATATCGAGAAAAAACCAGACTTGATTTGTTCGAGTATCCACCAGGCCACGTCAGAATAGTTCGTTCTTAATCTACGATCAAGATTGGAAGAGTTTTTTCTATGAAATCGTGCCTTTAAAAGAAAACAGTCAATGAACAATCACTACAAAGAACACGACAAGTGTAGAATATCCTGCAGAGTTTTATCGAAGAAAATTACAGATATGACTATCCATAAAAGTACTTGTTCAGTGGCAGTATTTTTATAAATATTTCATTTAGTACTTATATAACGATAATTACTTAAATTTTTTTTCAGTACTTATATTAGACACTCTGCTAAGGTTCTTTCAGTATTTCTTATAGGAAAGATTCTCATTCACTGAATATATTAGAAAATAAACTGAATATTTGTTTGAATAAATATCATCATTTAGACTTCATATTTATACAATTCATACCATAATTTATTTATCTAAAGAAGAAAAGATAATAAAAATATTGCTAAAGTATGCATTTTTCTTGATAAAGTTGAGAATATTTGTTCGAAAATACTGATTGAATGAAAATTATTTCATCATTGAATTTTTGGGTGTGGGTGTTGGTGTGGGTGGGTGGGGTGGAAGCTAAGACGAGACTCATTCCGACGTCTACGCCCACACCCACATCCAGTGATGTCATATATATTTTTGTTCAAGCTAAGATCAACATCAACATGCAACAATATATCGATAAATATTCAACCCATTTAAAACAAACACATAGTTTTTAGTTGCAAATACGATTGTGAAGGCGAAGTTGGTAGCCACTTCTGCTATTATAGTTGAATCAACAAGTATCGTCGGTGTTCGTTTAAAATCTTCTCCAAATTTCAATTGTTGTACGATGAGTGCATTTTTTCGACTATGTACTGTAGCTAGATAGAAACAACGATTTCTCACCTGTGAAATACTAGCCGACATGGTATATGTTAAAATAGCATCAGTATCATTTAATATTGCTCCATAAATGAGATCACGAGAAGAATTAGTTGGTAATGTAAATTGTGTGTTCATAATCAAAACTGACCAAGTAACTGGATCACTTGTAATCGTCAAACCCCATTGTTGTTCTTCTGGCGAATACAAATACAAATTTCGATCACTTCTTGCATTTGGAATTGAATTCATTCCGATAAGAATGAATTGTTTTTCATTCGAATATTTGTAGGTACAGAGCATTTCAGGTACAGAAGTCGACAGATGTTGAGGAGATGAACAAGGAACAGAAAAATGTAATTTGTCTATTCGAGCAACATTGTTAAAGGTACCCGTTTGTGGATCTAGAAATATGGACGAATTTAATGAATGTACTACTGGCCATGTTTCAAATGTAAAATCAATCAAATTCAAATGACCGACAGAATAATTGTTGGAACCGGATGGATAAGAATTTAAAAGAAAGTACACGTCGTTATTGTTTGTTACTGGTTGAGACGAGAATCTTGCGAATGAATTTTCGGAATGAAATATTAATGGATTGCCAATAGCAGTGATATTCGATGTTAAAGGATCAATTTTTAGTCTAAAAAAGGCAGTATCACCACCAGGAAAAGTAAATGATGAACACATTAGAACAACGGCATTGCCTAAAATGAAAAAAAAACAAAACAAAAGAGATTATTTGAGACAAATATCCTCTTTACCTTGACTGTTGTTATAATATGGAATGAATTTAGCTCCGAAATTACACCGACCACTTACATCACCAATAATTGATGTACTGAATTGTACGGTTGATCCATTTCGATTCATCAATTCCAAATACGATGTAGGTAAATTCCATGGACCACCATTATTAATGTTAACTATGGATAGAATTGTCGCCTCGTCAGTTAATACAAATATGTCGATAATATTGCAGGAATGAAATTTACCCGATATACAACCAGTGACGCTGTATATAGGCAAATCATAATCCGGCGATATTCGTGCTTGAACAATACAGAAGAAAAAAATCAATATCACAATACGTCTTATCGACATCATTGCTTTTTCTTGTTTTTCTACTGCAACGAAATTTGAATTGGATTTTATCACAAATGGAACATCTGTTCTAAATCCCATCTATCGCGATAGAACCAACATTGGTTATTCGATTATGATAAATATTCGATTTCTGTGTTTTTAAATATAAAGAGTGAGGCAGAAGTTCTGACTCGATTAGATTATTGAATTTTTCTATGCTCAACTACGTGGTTGTAAGCTCTAATTAACGTTTCGAACTGCACGAGAAGAAATTCATAGCGGACTGTTTTAACAAATTAAAACTAAAATTTTGCAAGCTGTTAAAAATGTTTAATATGTCCATAAGAACGCGACTTTTATCAGTTTAGATTAAAGATGTTTGAATATCGTTTTATGCGGTGGGGTGTGGATGTGGGTGTGGGTGTGGGTGCGGGTGTGGGTGTAGATGTGGGTGTGGGTGTGAGTGTGGGTGGGTGTAGGTGTAGGTGTGGGTGTGGGTGTGGGTGGGTGTAGGTGTGGATGTGGGTGGGTGTAGGTGTGGGTTTGGGTGTGGGTGTGGGGTGTGTGTGTGTAGGGTGTGAGTATAGGTGTTATTGTGACTGAATAGAAGATTCATACCCACACCCACACGCCCACACCTACACCCACGCCCACACGCACACCACACACCCACACCCTCACTATTTTTTGTAGCTTGTTTGTGAAAGGTAAACTTTAAATAAATGAAAAGTTGGTATGTACTTTTTCTAAGTAGTATCATAATTATATACTATTCTGATACAGATAAGTAATATTGTTGAAGTAAAACATACATATGACGGAATCAACTGAACAAACGTGTGATATGTTGGTTATAAACCATGATACATTACTATAAAATGACTCACAAATTCTCACACATCCCATTGACATACAACTGAGTATCAAAAAGAACACATCTGTAACGATACGTTTACAAAAGGAATGAGATATGAATTCAACTGTCTATAATATCAGCTATCGAAGTTGTAGCACAACTAGATTTATAACAATATTCAAAACCAACTCTCTGTATTTTGACCAAATTACACATGAAACCTAAAATGTTTTACGTTGATTTTGACTTGATTTGTCCCATTATTTACATATATGTGAGAACCTTAGTGTTGATTCTGTTTTATCGACAGCTTAAATTACCTTGTAAATGAAAAATGAAATATCTTTATCTTGTATATAATCTAGTTGGTCATGAATTATTCGAAAACTTTGATCATTATGTCGAGAATATGAAAAAGAAAAATAAACATCACAACAACACTCATGCTATCAATATCGATAACATATGCTCACACACGTTCTTCATAAATTCGTCTCGATTTCAATGAATTTTTGTTCTTTTCTTTTTGTTTTAGTTTCTTGAAATTTTTAGGTAATCAGTTCATATGATCAATTCATGATCACACTTCCTAATGAGTGAAATTCGAACAACGAATGTACTTTCTACTTTTACTGATCTTCGATTATCATACACTTTTTCTTTTCTTTCCTGAGCGCATACTCTGTAAAAAAAAAAACAAAGAAAAAATGTCATACTGAATCTTTCTGGGGACCATCTTATGAACCTTTTTTAAGTTCTAGCCAAAAAAGTCTAAAACTTAAAATGGTTTTAGACTATTTCCCTAGAACCTAAAATAAGTTCCAGTAAATGGTACCCAAATCTAGAACCATATAAAGTTTTAGACCTTCGCTAAAACCTTTAATGGTTCCTTATGACACCTTCTTTTTTTTAGAGAGTACTGACAATGTACTTTCATAAAACAATAATAATTAGAATAGTTTAGGCTCAATCGATAGAGTCAATCAATTTCTTCTAGTCCTAACTCTTTGATACATCTTGTTTCATTTTATTTTGTATGCTTTTCGTACAGAATAAATTCAGAACAATAATAAATATCTGCTCATTTATGCTTTGTGTTCATCTTTATTTTATCTTTTTAAAAAGATCAGTTTTATACTCTTTCTTTTTTCCTTTTTATTGATTCCAGATGTTCTACCTTCCTACGCCGATCAAGCGTGAACTTTTGTTTAATTACAAAGGCGTACTAGGTTACTATGTCCACAAGAATGGCCATCATTTACAGTCCATTCCTGACACATTTCTGGTACCTATTAATAATGAAAATGGATTGAAAGCATATTAGACACAACGAAGCATGATCCGGGACACAATTAAACCAGTTATAATAAATCGCAGTGTCACTCCATTAGCTGACAATTGTTCTCCTCCAAGTACAACATCCCTTACACAAAATCTAACTGAATCATTAAATACTTATTCACAGAATTCAACAATGATTCTCATCGATAGATTACATATTAATCCTCTGCAAAGATAACAAGAAGTCATCATCATCATTATCGTTAGTCTTCTGGTCAGTCTCTTATTTACATTGATATTTTTCTTTGGTATAAGAATATTTCTCTATGCTAGGCAACAACAATCTCGAACTGTTTCATCAGTTCCTAGTAAGTTTCTTTTACTCGTTTTTGTTTTTTATATGTACACTATTCACAGACAGTTTTACTTAATTTATGTATATTAATGCATTTAGATGATCCATGTAAACTGCAATTGATACATTATTTTGATGGAATCTCAACTGATAATGCAGAAAAAAAGAATCACTGCCAATGTGCAAAGCAATACAGAAAATAATCAAGTAAATTAATCTAAAAGACTTAATATTACTGAAAATTTTGTTTTCTATTTATTTCGTAGATAATCCACTCAAGCATCTATGATTATCCTTCAGTCGATTGTCACAAATGTACATCTTCAATATGCCACCACTGTTCACCTATCAATGATGCTTAGCAATCATTCGTAGCTTTTCTTTCTATCCACATATGTTTTTCACTATCATATTTATCAAATCTCATTTTTCCCATTGCGAATTTATCTGATGCATTCGTATAATTCAAAGAAATTTCAACTGTGTTTGCAATAAATCATAACTAATATTTCTCAGTCTTATTGTAGATACATTTCTTCAGGTGTTCCAATCATTAGTTAGTACTATTTGTCTATCCTAACAATCGCTCTCATTTATACAAATACTTTCCCATGTAAAAAATGCGAAAAAATCAACTTTAGGGACGTCAAAATTGATTAAAATCATACCATTTTTACTCAATAATTCAGCAGTAATAGTCCTGGCCAAACCAGAGGTAAATGGACTATTTCGAGGAATATGGTTAGAATCGATTTNGCAAAATTCTGTGCGACCAATTTTCAGCGCTGCGAGAGGATCATTTTTCTACACCGATGAGAAATTCCTTTCTTCTTATTTCGATGAACTGTTCTACGTAAATTGTAGAGCTTTACACGCTGCATCTTGTGGTATATTTTATTTCTTTTTTACAAAAACATATTAGTTGATAAATAGATGAAATAAGAAAAAAGGAATTTCTCGTTCGCATAGAAAAAAAATGATTTTCTCGCAGCGTCGAACATTGATCGCACAGAATTTTGCCTTCTTTGAAAACAAAAAGTACAAAATTAAAATAAGGTTTACTTTGTAGATTATAGTTCTTTTCACGCTGCATCTTGTGGTATATTTTGTTTTTTTAAAATAACGCATTAAGTGATGCGAAAATGAAATAGAAAAAGGCCATTTTTTTGTCCGCGAGAGACTCAAGTTTAGCTTCTCTAAATTTGTTCAAAATATTTTCTTTAGAATTTCTATAAATTTACGATTGTCTTCATCATTGTTTGACATTATATTCAGTAAATCTACGTGTTTTTATTTTGTTTTCATACATACGAACTAGACTCTATATTCTATTATGTTTTATATGCCATTACCTTTCTTACACACTGTACCACATATTACGATTAACATATTTCATCAGCAATATGCATTAACAGTGCGCAATAATTCATAAATCAAAACTGTATTTCAGGAGATACCTCTTCTGACATAAAGCATGTTTCATTTCGCCTCATACTATCACGTCGATTATAGTTCTGTTTTCTTTTGTGTTCGCCTCTCATCGTTCTTGTATCATGGTTGGCTTATTGCTCTCAGAATAAAAAAAATACAAAAAAGAAGAAGAAAGAATAAGTATAATAGAAACATGTGTGTAAATTCCCTCATTTACAATGTTAGCAGCTCCATTGTGCTTCACATTTTAATTCTATAAGATTTGCACTAACAGCATTTTCTTTTCATTGTTCTTTGTTTGTATTGTCTGTCTCATGTTTTTCGTATTCATTCGTGTTGGAAAGAATACAGAGAAGAGTCAAATACATGAGGCATGTGACACTTACATAGTTCTATACTTCATGGATCTTTTATTTTTAGATCTTAACACAAATGGTCCTTTTCATTCAATGACGGCTTTAGTTTCTTGCGGTTGACACAATCTTTCTCTGAAATTCTAATCATATCAAGTATGAGTCTACCAAATACAACGAAAAAAGAAACTGAAACGCTCGCTATGCCTAGATTGATTTGGGATAACGATGATGGCTACTGTACTGGAACATCTCTTCAGTTCATTGGTGAGTTGTCGTTATATTTTTGAATATTGATTATGTATTGAGTATTGTGTCAATCCATAGAAAATCTTATAATTTAATATCTCGATAAATTCAATTAATTGATTATCTCTAAGCACATTTTTTTCGTAATGTAGCCGTCATAAATTGATTTATAAGTATGATGAAGAGAAACTGCTGTTGACGTTTTAACAGCAGTTTTCTGTAGTCTTCTAGAAATACTTGAGTAGTTGTAGCAACAGAAGTAATTTGATATTAAAGAATAACCAGCACTCTTGTATTTCCTCTTATAGCGTAGTCTCCGAAAGAAAGTATTCTTCAATAAAATTGACGATTATGAAATTTATATATAGAACACAAAGATGCAGCAACAGCAAAACAACTATCACCCGCGAGAAGACGACGTATCATTCAAAATTTTCTTCTCATCTGGCTGGATCCAAACATTGACGAATCAAACGAAGATTACTGTAGTTCAATACGTCAACTACAGCGCATCGTCAATATCATTAGCATATTCACCGATACGAATCGATGCATCGATTTTCTAACTAAAATCAAACGTGAAAAAGTATTCATCATTGTATCAGATGACCTTGGCCAGCACATAGTACCTCTCATTCATAATATGTTTCAAATCGATTCAATCTATGTATTTTGTGCACAAAAGTCAATACGTGAACAATGGACGAAGAAGTGGTCGAAAGTGAAAGGTATTTTCACACAAATCGCTTCACTTTGTGAATTACTGCAACAAGCTACACGACGACAATGTGAGCAAGATTCTATGTCGATGAGTTTTGTTTCGATGAGTGAAGCATCAATTCAAAATTTGGACCAAGTCGATCAAACATTTATGTACACACAATTGATCAAAGAAATTCTACTGGAAATGAAATACAATGAACAATCCATTATAGACCTGGCCACCTATTGTCGTGATCAGTTCTCAGACAACGATCCTGAGCTGAACATTATCACGATGTTCGAACGGGAATATCATCTTCATTCGCCCATCTGGTGGTACACTTATCCGTGTTTTCTTTATTCTATGCTCAACCTGGCTTTACGCACTCAAGACGTGGACACAATCATCAAGATGGGATTTTTCATTCGCGATCTTCATCGACACATCAGACAATTACACATGGAGCAATCGGATGACGAATCTTTAGTTGTCTATCGTGGTCAAGGCTTGTCAACAGCGGACTTTGATAAAATGATGAAAACAAAAGGCGGACTCATGTCGTTTAATAACTTTTTATCGACAACTAAAGACCGAAATGTCTCTTTTATGTTTGCTGACAGCAATCGAAACGATCCCGATTTGATAGGAATTCTTTTTGAGATGACGATTGATACGTCGATTTTATCGGCTACCTATGCCAACCTTAGGAATGTCAGCTATTACAAAGAGTCAGAACAGGAGATTCTCTTCTCGATGCATACTATTTTTCGCATACGTGAAATCAAACAATTGGACGAGAGCAATCGACTCTGGCAAGTGAACCTCGCACTAACGGACGACAATGACCAACAGCTCAGTGCACTTACCGAACAAATGAGAGAGGAAACGTTTCCAGAATCAAAAGGATGGTATCGACTGGGCGAAGTACTGATTAAACTAGGCAACTTTGACAAAGCCGAACAAGTATGTCGAGTGCTGCTCGATCTGTCGTCCGACGAAGTTGAAAAAGCCAATGTCTATTATCTGCTTGGACGCATCAAGTACGGCCAAGGCGAATATGTGCAAGCGATTTCGTTTCATGAAAAAGCGCTTGAAATCCGTCAAAAAGTTTTTTCTCCAAATCATCCCGATTTGGCTGATTGTTACAACAATATCGGCGGCACGTATAACACAATGGGCGAACACTCAAAAGCACTTTCGTCTCATGAGAAAGCACTTGAAATCCGGCAAAAAGCTCTCTCTCCAAATCATCCAGATTTGGCTAGCTCTTACAACAACACTGCATTGGTGTATGATGACATGGGCGAATACTTAAAAGCACTATTGTTTTACGAAAAAGCACTTGAAATTAACGAAAACATTCTCTCATCATATCATCCTAATTTGGCTACTTCCTACAACAATATCGGTTTGGTGTACAGCAGTATTGGAGAAAATTCAAAAGCACTTTCATTTCAGGAAAAAGCACTTGGAATTCGTCAACGCATTCTCCCTCCAAATCATCCTGATTTGTCCCAATCCTTCCACAACATCGGTTTAATGTATAGCAAGATGAACGAATACTCGAAAGCACTTTTGTTTTACGAAAAAGCAATAGAAATCGCGCAAAAAGCTCTCTCTCCGAATCATCCAGATTTGGCTAGTTCGTATGCTAAAACTGGTGCGACGTATCATGACCTTGGTGATTACGCAGCAGCGCTCAAGACTTTTGAAAAGATTCTTGAAGTTCAGCAGAAAACATTTGAAGAAGGGAATGCAGCTTTCGGTTCGATATACAGCTGGTTCGGAAGAGTTTATCGCAGTATGAAAGATTACTCGAATGCACTGGAATATTTTGAAAAATGTCGGGCAATCATTGAAGGAAAGTTACCAGAAAGACATCCTGGTCGAGCTGTTACATACAGTAATATCGGTGATGTGCATCGATTATTAGGAGATTATGGAAAAGCACTTTCATTTCATCAAAGAGCATTGAACATCCAGGAAAGCGTTCAGTGTGATTCGCTGGAATGTGCAACGATATATACGAATTTAGGTGAAACATATCGAGAAATGAAAGATTATTCAACGGCATTGACATATTTTGAAAAAGGATTACAAATTCGTGAAAATAAACTATCAAAGAGTCATCCTGATGTAGCTGTTATTTATCATAGTTTGGCGAAGTTACATTTGGCTACTCGACAATACAGTATTGCAATGGAAAATGTTCAGCAAGCGATAGATATTGCTCAAGAAAAGTTGCCTTCAAATCATCCTCATCTATTTGAGTATAAAGAAACATTTGAAAAAATTCGAAGGAAATTATAAGTTCGTTTATCTCTCTTGCTTGTTCAATAAAATCAGTTTAATTACTATTCATCTATTCAGACTTTCTAGGCTCTATATCGCTTTACCACACGAGACTGAGGGGACCCACTTCTGCGTGAAAAGAATACACATAGAGTGGAGCATACTGGGCTGATAGGTAATGAACATAGGTATGACATACAGTAATGACAAAAGAGATTATATGCTCATAGTTAACCTTTTCGAGCACCAACTTACTTTTGCCAGAACAGACACTTTGAGTCTCTCTAGTGCAGCTATAAAGCAAACCGAAGGAATATAATCTATAGTCGTATCTCTTCCTAGTACACAACAACATAGCTATGAAAAAGAAACCAAGTTAACCTAGAATAAAAAAGCTTTATACTGTTTAATATACTACGAATAATACATATATATATCATTAAAATATTTTTTTTATCAAGAATAGATGATGCCTACCTTATCGTGAGGGTGTGGTGTTGGTGTTGATCATTACAGACCCACACACCCACTCACACGCACATCCTTTGAATCTTAATAGTTATCGAAAGAGATTGCGTTACTAATATAATTGATGACATGAGTGTGAGTGTCAGGTGTGCGTGTGTGTAAATTAGGAGTGTCAGTGTTTTCGTTTGTAAGAACAAAACGTAAAAATGACATCCATTGTGTAAAGTGGAACGGTGATTCACAATCACATCTAGAGTCAAATCTTTAATCTATATAACTTGGCATTTTTATTTTAAGTTAAACATCTTTCCATCTATCTGTCTTTCTCTTCATTAAACAGCAAACTAAGAAAAACCATATTTATAGCATTATTTAAATATACAGTGGTTAAAAGTATTTGACACTTCATCAAAATAATCATATGATAGTTTTCGAAGTACCAGATATTCATAAGAAGACATGAAGCCACACATTCTATGGCGTTGAAACCATTATATTGTGAAAAAAGTTAAACATAGTTTTTCTCTTTCTTTAATCGATGGCTAACAGATGAGACTATGATGATCTGTCGAAACTTAATCAGGTATTATATAGTTTTGATCCTTCGATATATAAATAATGGCACAACTGCAGTTTTTTCTAAAAATTTACTGTTATGGAAAAGAAAAGAAATATATTAAAGACTATAATTGTTTTCAAGAGACGTTTTTTTTTCATACAGCTCATTGAGATCCATATAACTATCGCAAACCAAAGACAATAAAATAATTCTGTTAAAAGCTTATCGTCTGGGCAGCTTATTTTTGAAAACGTTGTCGACAATATATTGATTTTTCTTTTTTTTTTTCTTAGACAATTACCATAAATAGAATTTATTACGTAGATAGAAAAATTCCATCGATTTGATTTTCTCAGATTCGAATGATGATGTCGGCTTCATTGAAACAATTCTTAATCTAATGAAAAATAATACTAATCCTTGTCACCCGGCTATCGAATAAAGATAAAAATATTACAATACATTGAATGTTAAATTTTTCATCGGAAATTTTTTTAACCACCTTCAAGAAACTCGTTGGTTGATAGATCTCGTTAGATATGTCATTATGCATGATATATCAATAAAACATTATCTTGATTTAAATTTTTCAGAATATTTTGAAGGCTATCTTATTGATTAAAAAGTAAATTAGCATCTATGTTAATTATTCATGGAGGCAATTAACCGCTTAGATGATGTTCGCACGCATTCAGATAGAAAAATGGACAACAAATTGCCACACAACTGTTTGATACGATGAATCAAAAGAGTGAACTGGATAAAATCGGTTTGCTATTATATCAATAGATACGTAGGAAATAGAATCAACGAAGAACTCCCACGTTGAAACTCAGCTATTATGAATAACTTCAATTGCAGATTCATATGATATTTCATAGAATAGATTGTTGTACAATGATCATTTGCCGACGAAATTATCTGTCGTGAACGATAAAGATACTAGGCCGAATGTTAAGAAGTAGTTTTTTGTTGTCAATAAAATGTATAATTGTTGCTAAAAATTTCCACTACTGACTTATCATTTTTATTATATAGAAAATAACCAGGATATGCTAAGCGACGAACATCGATGCAATCAGCTGAACAACGTTGACAATCAACAAATACAGTTCAACATATCCATTACAAGAGAAGTTAATAATATATTATCATGCGTCCTAGTGCTATGATGATGTTGATACAAGTTTCATACATATGCGAGATGATCGAATAGCACATGTTGCAATGAATCTGATGATAAAAAAAAACTATATCGTTATAGTCAGCACAGCTACATGAAAAATATGTATAGAATATGAGAGCATAAATATTGAAATATTGTTTGTAGAAAAATACTCTAGTGGTATGAATAAAAAATAAAGAAGGTAGTGGAAAATGCACCTTCACAATAGGCTTACTCAATGTTTGATTTTCACTTTTTATAGCTTCAATTAATTTGTTTGACAGAATATATTATGACACTTGCCAGCAAATGATTCGAATTTAAAACGAGAATAATTGTGAATAGGATCATATTTTTTAATCGTGTACGAAAAGTGATTAAGTATGTGAATAACGAGTTTTACTTGTAGTCACTATTTATTTTGTTGATTAGAACAAAATAGAGACGAGTATTCTATATGTTTATGCTTAGAGAAAAAGTAAATAATAATAAATGTGTCGTGTATAAAGCTTCAAATTGTTAACAACTATCTAGTACTTCAAAGTATGTCGATTGATCATATTTCGATGGTTGACTTAGATGTGTAACAAAGGCTAGCTATCGAAAATAAACATGAATGCCATCTGGTGTTTTAACATGTATTATCCTATATTTCTTCTCGTTAGAGTCTGTCGGATTAGGCCGAAAATTTTGGACCCGATGGGTTCTACTTTTCATCTATCTCTGCTAATGCTACACAACTAGATGTGTAACTGTAGAAAAAGCTGAACTATTCTTTAAATTAATAATTGAGAATATTAAATAATATTTTCAGAGTTTCTCATTTTGCTATTTTCTTTATATTAATGTTACCTAAAACGATGTTTCGACGGTCATAAACATATATGATTAATGGTAACAATAAATATGATTCGTAAAGTTCAAAAATAAAATAGATATTGTTAAAAAAAATACATATAATTTTTTTGATTATTGAATTAGTATTTTAAAATAATTCGTCTAAAATACGATTCTTCACAAAACCAGCAGATTTTTAAAAAAACACATTTCTATGTGAAAATAAAAGACAAAAGAAAAAAAAAACAAAAATAACATAAACATTTTTAATTACGACACTGTTTATTTGAATAACTTCGATTGAAAGGATTATTCATAGATCTTGGAAATAATAAACGTTTAAATGCTGTTCGAAATTCGACATTAAAAACAGTATAAATCAATGGATTACAAGCACTATTTATATAGCCAAGCCAAAGAATTAATGTAGGTAACGGTTCTTTCATATATATTGATACATCAATAAAAGCTGATAAAATATAAACAACAAAAAATGGTAACCAACATAAAAGAAATACACTTATAATAATTCCAAGTGTTCGTGATAAGCGACGTTCGCGTGTTAAAGAAATTTTTTGTCGTTCATTCATTAATGCGGCTAAAGTTTTACCTTTAAAAATACTTCGACGATTAGCATCTTTTGATAAACATCTTTTTGGATTTAATAATTCAGTTGTTTGTACTGAAGCATGCTGTTGCTGAATCAGACAACCGTTTTCAAATTTTTTTTCATCACTAGGATATTGACTAAATAACGGGATTGCTAGTCCACCTGCGACTAAGATAAATAGTTGAATGGTTTTTTTTTTTAGTATTCAAAATATAAAGCTGTTTGATAGGCTTCTATAGGTAGAATAATATTTATGAAATACAAAATATGCTCTATTCTAATAAAAAAGGCGGGGAAAAAAACAATCGACTTCAAGATCCCATAAAGATTTCAAGTGTCTTCACGAAACTTCAATATAGAAATCTTTGTTATTTTCTCCTGTCATTATGAAATATCCACTTGAATATTGAGATAACATAATACATTAGAACAAAGTTTTAAATCGCCTAAAAAATCAATCTTAGACTAAGTACATTCAAATTACATGAAATTTCCAGTTCTATGTAATGACGCTCGAGGAGGATATTTAATAAACTAAGGCAATTCTAAATTCTCTGCAGACCGTCATTCGATAGATTTTGTTTTCTTTTGTTTGAAATAGCATGTCATACTGCAGTGCCCTTCCTTTTACATAATTAATTTTTATGCGAAAAAAAAGCATGACAAGTTGAGTACCTTGAATAACTCTCAAAAAGTGGTCATCTCTTTATAGAAGTACTTTTTTTTTATATATTCATAAAAAAAAACCTTCACATACTCTTTCGAGTAAAACAAAAAAAGTCAACCATAACTACAATTGAAGCTCTTGCGAGAATTTTGACATGCACAATCAAAAAATTATCAACAGAGGAAAGAAAAACGAAAAATATTTCACACTTTTTCTTGAAATCAGCATATTTTTCAAACAGAAATCATTAGAAGTTTTTTCCAAAGATCTAGATGCCAAACAAAAAAAATCATATCGTTTATGAAAAATTAGATCGTGGGACTATTTTGATGAGAAGAATTTGTTTTTGAGGAGAGGATGACCTCAAATACTGAGAATATTTTTTCAGGAAGTACTTAGATTAGATTTAGTAAAACTAAATTATCGGAAAAAAAATTATATACAATTCATTATAGAACTAGACACATGATTTTTCTTATTCATTATGTACTTGAATCTACTTGTTGTTTTTTATCATTCTTCTTGATTTATGTTAATGCAATAATATCAACTTTGATTCTTACTTTTCGGAATTATTTTATTGTCATCAATATTAATCGAAAGTAAACCTTGTGATGATATATCAACATCTGTTGTTGAACATTCAACAAGATGATTTTTATTTGATGATGGTGATATTTGTAAATGCATTGTTTCTTCTGCATCATCTATATCGAAATTTTCTGGTCCACTACCATTTGATCCTGAAGATCTTAATGATGAACCATTTGAACGGCAAGTCGATGATTTAAATGTATGTTTTTTACGATGATGACGGTGATGATGATGATGATGTTTATGTTTAATACTATTATCCATTGTTATAACAGTTGTCGATACTTCATTATTGTTTCTTCTAGTAGCTTTTGCTAATTTAGCTGCCGCTATTAAAAAAAACAATCTTATATATATATATATGATAGTATTTAGTTTGACTGTATGTCTCAATAGTAATTTTTCTTGACATACAGCTTCAATTTCATGTCAGAAAAATCTAATTTCTTTATCAATTATATTACTCGTGCAATCGTGATGATTTGCCATTCTTTAAATTGTATATGTTGTTAAAAACTAGTACTTTCGTATGTGTTTTCAAAATCATTTTTGTACTTGTTCTTTTTTTATCTAATTTTCACTTTATTATTGAAGAATTATAAAATATCTCTAATGAATTTGTATTATTCAGTACTACAGATCATGTATTTCAATCAACATTTACAAATATGCTATGCCGAATATTATAAAAACAAAGTGCACGATAAGATAACGTAAAAGAAAATTTCGAAAATTGAAATGACACGAAAAGTTTTTTCATAAAATACCATTAATATTTTTCGATTGACATTTTATCTTCTTCTATTAATTTATTTCTATGAAATTTCTTTTCGAAGATAATTATTTAAAGAATGGTAGACCATTAATATTCTATGAGTACTATAATTAATAAGAAAAACAAATCCTACTTGTCTTTTAATATAATATTGAAGTTCTATGTAAAAACAAAAATAGAATTGAAACATCTAGTCAAATAAGTCACGATCATATAATAAAAAGAAAAAAAAAACAAATTCGAACCTTTAGCTCGTTCATGAAAACGTTTTCTTGTTGCTATAAAAACATGTGCATAAACAATAGTCATAATTAATGCTGGTATATAAAATGAACCACATGCTGAATAAATAACATAAACTTTATTATTTGATAATTCACATTGTTGTAATTCATTAAAACTTTGCAATTCATTCGAACCAAGCATTGTTGCTATGATTGGTGGAATTGATATTGTACCTGATAAAATCCATACAAGCATTATCATAATAAGTACACGTCGCATTGTACGTTGACGAGCATATTGTATAGGATCACTTATTGCCCAATATCGATCAAGCTATGAAAAGAATATTTTCCAGAAATAAATCAAAAATAAACATTTAATTGTTTACCGCAATAGCACAAAGATTTAATATTGATGAAGTACATAAAAGTACATCAGAAGTGACAAATACTTGACAAAATATTTTACCAAATATCCATCGTTTTAGTATATGTCTTACAATATGAAATGGCATAACGATAATGGCAACAAACATATCAGAAAAAGCAAGTGAAACAATAAAAAAATTTTGTACAGTTCGTAATGGTCGAAATGTAAAAACAGATAAAATAACAAGTATATTACCACATATACATAAAACAACAATACTTGAAAGAACAAATGCAACAGGTAATGCTTTAGCAAATGGCATTGGACGAAAAAGTGATGATGATGTTATTGTTGTTGAATTAATTGAAGTAAAATAATTAAATGTTGGAGGTGATAAAAGTGCCATTTGTGAATCACTAGAAGATATTAAATACCAATCAATATTACTTATATTTAATGGTAATAGTATATCATTATCAGAATAATCATCGGGTAAACCAAAATTTGGTAATAATAAACTTTCAACTTCACCACGATGAATCGATATAGTCAATGGCAATTGCACTAAAATGAAAAGACAACAAAATCATATTTGTTTTTCTTTGTTGTTAATGTCTAGAAAAACACATCGATTTTTTTTTTGTTTTTTTTGTTTTAGGATCCGTGAAAGCCTATTTTTTTGAATGAATGCATTCTAGTACGCTATTTAAATTGCTATGAAGAATATATTTCGGAAAATAACTTCCTTTCATTTCTCCGTATATATCATTCATTGTTCATTTCTACATCCAAATATTTTTTCATCTATATTGATCGAGCGGGACTCTCTGTTTTTTTTTTTATTTAATAATAACAATATATATAATGGTCCGTGTTGACTAGAATCATAAACGAATTAACTTTTATTTTGTATGCGAAGAAGAAGTTATGCGACTGAGTTTTTTTTACAAACTATGCTAATTTACCATATTTTTAGAGTGATTGCCTATAAGAAAGATAACTCTGCATATTCGTTTATGAAAGAATAATTTTTATTATTAACTTAACTATGAACGATAAAATTAAACAAAAATAATCGAAGAATAAAAAAAAAACAAAAAAAACGTGAATTGCTTGCATCAATAAAACTGATAATAAATCTTTTCTTTTTTTCTATTAATCAAAATAGTTGTCGATTACTTGAATAGAATTTCATGACAGAGATTATGAATTTCATTACTTAAATTAAATCTTTAGGATTTCTAGACAGTTCACACACAATCTATGTATTCTTGACATATCTTTTTTTTTATGTCAGCTATTCTCTAGTCTCACATCATCGACTCTTTCAACTAATCAATAGAAATGACGAAGAGATGGACTTAGATGACACAGCATACTCGATATTGATCAATGTCATTTAAATAAGTAATAATCTATCGACTAAAAATAAACTGCGTAACTTTTCTCTTATTCCATTTCCTATGAGACATACATTTGGGAATGTAAAAATAAATTGTTCAAATAGTCAATAGGGTCCTTTTATATATTTTTTTCTATACGAATAAGTCCAATAGAAAGCATTTTAACATAAACACTTGATGTATTTAAGTAGGTATATCGTCCTTGATAAAGACAAATGTTTACTCAATCAAAAACGGATATTTATTAAGAAAATGGAATAAGAAAACATTACTCGATATTTTAATTGATTTAGTTCAGTTTTATTTAAATATGTACATTCGTTTACACAATAAATAATAGAACTACTTATCAAGAGATCGAAACGAAGAAAAAGAATTGTAATAAAGAATATTCTTTCTAGTTTAAAAAACACAACTCGTCTACATGCAATGTATTTGATCTAAAAGTGCTATTGAAGAAATGAATAAAAGAACACTTATTTCTTAGAAGGTCTTAATTTAATATAGTATATTACTTATTCTATTTAGCTATTATCACCTAACGTTTTTTTTTTGTGATCTTATGTAAACTTATGCATCAATAAATTTTTTATTTTCTCTCTTGAATAAATTTATGAATAAGACTAAATTATTTACGCTGAATAAAATCTAACTTTAGACAAGCTTATTTTTTTTTATGAAAAAAAAAAGAAAAAAGAAGGAAGATATATATTTTGTATGAAAAATCGGTCAAGTCGATAAAGAGTAAAAAATTAAAATAGAAATAGTCAAAGAAAAAAGAAAGAATAAGTAACAAATTGAATATAATAAAAAGATGCCGACGATGTAACTTCATTGATTGCGTTTCTTTTGTTCTATTAATTCACAATTTTTTTTCTTCTTCTATATCTTCTTTCTTCTATTCTTTTATAAAAGAATATAGACGCATGTCATCATCCTACTTGCTATTGTTTACACTATGTCAACAGAACTTGCAACTATTTCAATCGCCCTCATGTGCATACCACTAAAGAGAATTAATAGTTTGCTTATCTCACTCTTCTTTTAGTACTCAAATGGATCAAATAGAAAAAAAAGAATTGGAGACAAAATAATCTTATCGTCTCGAATGATTCGAAGTGTTCTATCGATGAATCCATTTCAATACTTTTAGTCTATAATTGAATTATTAAAAAGCAAATTTTTTTCTTTTTTAAATAATTTAATATAATTCATTTTACTGTATCAAATTCTATTAAAAAATTCTATTATTTCAAGTTTTTTAATGAGGAAAAAAAAAACAATCAAATATTTATAATACTATCTTATACAATACATTCAATATACTTAGATAAGATTTTAACACTTTCAAAAAGTATTTTTCTTTCATAATTAATATATACAAAAAATTGTTGAGAATTTTCAAAATTATTTCTGATAAAAAAAAATAATGTACGTAAATAGTTCATCAGTATTTTTGTCTTTTGCTAACAAATAGACATAATCATGTTTATTTAAAAGTATCATTAAAACTAACAAGTAAACATATAATTTTAAATAATTGCATTCATTCAAACATAGAACCTTTCTCTTTTTTTTTTTTATACGATTAATTGTGTGTATTGTTTGATTTATGTTGACCGGGGAAACAATTGTTTATTATAATCAAGACATGTGAAAAGAGAGGGACATAATATAAATAAAAACTTACTGATTGCTTTTTCTTTGTTGCCGTCTAGTCTGATGCTAGGATCACATGAGAATAAGAGGAATATTAAAAAAAAGAGGCTAATGCATTCTAGTAATATTGTTTGATGTTTATATGCAATCTAAATAATAACAAGAAGAAAAAAAAAAATTCAATAAGATCAAAAAAAATCTGAAAGAAAAATTCAATATCAATAATTAATGATAGATCTAGAAGATTTATTTATGAAGAAAAGTAAAGTGAAAATATATACATAAATAGATATAAACCTAACGTGTAATATCCGTTTATCTTTTTTCTTTTTTGCCAGTTTTTACAGTTCCTGAATCTAATGAAATTCATTGAAATGTGCATCCGTCATATTAAGAAAAAGAATGTAATTTCAGTATGGAAATTAGAGTTACAATAGATCCAATTTCCAGAAAAATATTAAATTTAATTTATAAGTTTAGCTATCGCATCAGCAATGCACCAAAGATTTGAAATGAATGTTCATTTGAAAATCACATTTTATATTTAAAAAAAAAGACAAAAATTCATTTTTACAGTTGTAGAAACGTGATCACTATGGGATACATATGTGTGTACGTGCTTATAATAATATATTGTTATTAATTAGAAGTCTGTTTGAATAGATATTCTATTGATCACGTATAATGACAAGAAAAAAGAAAAAGAAGACAAATATTCTAAATATAAAAAATCGAATAGAACATTTTTCATTTATAATATTCATACTTTTAACCTTGATTTACAATCTTAAAAGAGAATATGAACTACATTGTATCGATTTTCTCAAGATCCCGGAAAAATATTTTAGTAATTAAAGAACGTTAAGAATATTCTTTCTTTTGTTCGTAGAATGAATAGATTGCAAACAGATTTTTCTATTACTTTGTAAATAGTCGTGATCGTCAAATAATATGACATAAAATTTCGTTCGTTCTCGTGTTGGTAATATATATATATCGATACGTAAAAAAGACGATTCATCTCCATAATCTTGTTTGTATAAAGGCTAGATCTATCTATCTATATCTCTATATATATATACATGATGTTCTCTCAACTGGAAGTTCGAATGCGAAATGATAATAATAATCATAATAGTCTATTCTTTTCAAAGTTCTCGTTTTTTTTTTTCTTTTTCTTCTCTTTGTTAATCTGAGTTGACTGTACTAGTCGAAGTCGATTCTTCTTTCTTCTTATTATACTCACAGATTCACGGTTGTCGATACGAATAAAACGATAAATAATTCATAAAAATGTCAAACTCATCACTCTTTTCCATTAACAACGATATTATGTATTTTGTCGAGTTAGATTTTTCTTTTTCTGTACAAAAATAAAAGAAAAAACAAAATAAGAATAACAAATATGAGAAAAACAATAATCTGTACCTACTATATTATTGTGTTTTCTTTTTCTTCTTGCTAAATTAACAGAACGTAAGGACCAGATGGGCAATTTGATTAAAAGATAACTTGGTGAATAGTTTCTGTATTTTTTTTACTAATGGATACGAGGCATTTTTAACATATACAATTATCGATAGATTTCTATATGTAGTGTCTTGTCACACGATGTCGATCATTAGTTTGCTTTCTATTCGTACTATTTCTCGTCTTCATCATTCTTCTCTTTTTTTCTCTTTTCACAAAATGGCTATTGGCATACAGGAAGTATAAAAACGGCGACCGAATATAACACAAAGCAAATAACATGATTTTCGAAAAAAAAAAGAATAAGCATAATTGATTTGTCGTCGTTATTTTGATGATATAAGATATATAGCATAAGAGTTCTTATGTTATTATAGAGGGTATCTGTATATATACATCATCTACATTGAATTCATTTAATTACATAATATTAATAAATAAACGAGAATATTATTTGCTGCATAATGAGCTATTAAATATCGATAGATAAACATTTATAGAGATTGATCTATTTTGTCTAATCATTAAATTCAAAGATAGCATATTTATTATTCATGAATATACGAAAGCGATTAATAAATTTTAGGACAAAATTTTTTATACTTATTCTTGTCATATGTAAGTTATTGATGAGCTATTTAAGTTGTATGTAAATATAAGAATGAATGTGTAATGTACTTCACATAGTAACAATTATATCTCAAGAGATTTGAAAATAATCATCTGCTCGTTTGCATTCGTGTTAATAAAGAAAATTGATGTGCACAAATGTTACAACATGTGTAAAAGTTTGCACTCCGAACAAAATAGTATTATAAGAATTCTTTTTAATATGTTAACTTGAATTCAATTCGAAATTTATTTTACTAAATAATTCTTACAATCAAATGAATAAATCCTAAACAACATGTAACTAACAATTTGAGAAGACAATTTTATCAATAGTTTTTTTTTGATAACACTTATATTAATGTTCAGAATAAACATATATCGTTTCATTATTAGTTTTTTTTTTTCTTCAGTCAAAAAATATGTCTTAATAGCTTTCTTGATACGTCATTGTCTTTTTGTTCGTTGCAAGATTACAAATAAGAAAATCTGTTAACTAAAAGAAATAACATGAAATGAAAGGAAATAAGGTACTTCAGTCAAAATAACAGGAAGAGTAAATGAAGCAAACGAACAATATGCATTTTTTTCTTTGTAAATGGTAATCACAATCATTAGAACAGAATATATTATAAACTAATATCATAGAATTGAGTTTTATAGAAAAAAAAAATTTTGTATAAGCTTACGAACAGTAAATTTCTTGGAAACCTTAAAAGATGTCGCCTTAAATAATTGAGGTTTGATGTCAAGGTAATAGTTTACTTATGTCTATTATAAACTTCAGTCAAATATATGTGAAATAAAGTTATAAAATAAATCTGTGATTTTGATAAGAAAAGCTTCAAATGTCTGATTCGGAAGATGATGCTAATGAAAAACAAGTTAAAATTGTACTTCTTGGTGATGGTAGCGCAGGCAAGGTAAAATATTATATACATACATAGAGTTTTTTATTTTTCTTTGTTTATTTAACTAATTGTATGGTTTTTAGACATCAATTTCTGAAAGATTTTCTAAGGATGCATTCAGTCGTGATTATAATCAAACATTA